GCCTGCGGGGGGGCGCCCCTGATTGGGGCGCGGCCGCTTTGATGTGTCCGGCCGGCCCTTCCGATTGGCTCCCTGCGGCCATATCAGAACGCTGCCCGGGGAAGCCTGTGATGTTAATTGCAGCCCGTGGGATTAAACGCGGCTATTTTATGTAAATCTGGCCCCAAATGTTTGCACCTCTATCAAAGCCGCCGGAGCTGAGGCTTCGGCAGCCGCGGAGGAAATGGCCCATCTCAGCAACAGCCTCATAACCTGTGTGCAGCATCCTCCTGCCTCCCCGGCAGCACTCATTAATGGGTCCATTGACACTCGCTACAGAGCCCAAGACGGCAATCCCTGGAGACTGTTTTACACACGTTTCTAGACCAGCCAGTCCTGAAAAGGAGACATCCCTGCCACGGAGTAATATTTAGGAAAAATGAAAAGTCCTTCTCTCCACTCTTCTGCTGAAAAACGTCGCTGCGTGTTTCCATGCCACTTGCAAGAGAGTTCACAACCCCTCTCCCCCCCGCTCCGCAATTTCTCGCATTCATATTGTCGCAACTCGTGGCACTTCTGCTTAAATGAAGGTTGAAATTAACAAGGACAAGCCTTGCTGATTACTCGGCAAGAAATTAAAAGCAACAATCTAAAACCTCTCGATAAAGCAGCTGACCAGAAAACTGGCGTAATAAAAATATCTCCCGTCTCAGCCTGCTCATTCTCACTGAACTTTTGCCGTCGTCTCCCAATTTTTTTTTTTTTTTTTAGTAATCACAGGAGCCCAATCCGTTAGAAGAGGCTTAAGTTTGCCTCTTGTTGCTACTCTAGGCAGTGCCTTCACCTATGAAAGCGGCCGATATGCACAGCCACGATAGTTTCGAGCCATACTACCTAAATAAAAAGTATTTCTAAAAATTGCATTGATACCTGGAGGCTTCATCTCGTATAACCAAGGAGAACAAGTTTCTGCTGGAAAGGCTGGAGTTTGCCTTATGGATGAAACTTTGCAATGTAATGAGTCTCTTCGAAAGTTGTTTGGCGTAAAAACGAGAGATACAGAGAGGGAGAGAAGGGATATTTTGAAACATTCCCTCCCGCCGATGTTTTTAATAGTTTGAATTCTCAGGGGCTGCGGCGGTCTGTGGTGTGAGGGAAACAGTTTATTACCTTTCTGTGAGAATCTCTGGATAGAGGGCGAGGGGGAGAGAGGTGACAATGAGCAGGAAATAGTTCAATGGGGTCTCTTTAAACAATAACAAGTTCTTTAAATGGGAGCAAAGGAGAGGAAAAAGAAGCGGCGCAGTGTAAAAATAAGGTTTTCTTTAAAAATACGCACATTGCCACTCTCCAAACACTGTGCCTCATTGCTGCTGCAATTTTTTGAGATTTCATCTTTAACTAAAAGTGTCTGTGGTATGCTGGCAGGCTCTCTGGAAGCACAAGTTGGAACTAAGGCTTAGTATGGAAAGGTACACTAAAGGGGTCCGCTTCGCGGGATGCAGATAGCTGGTCAGTCCAGGCATCTACCCTTTCTGCGAGCACGTAGAGCTTGTCTATAAACCCCTGCGTTCCTACTCTGTACACATCGGAGCAGCAACCTGAAAGTGTCTATTTTAATCTAACTTCAAACAAACCGAATACTTCCGCCATTATTTTCAGTTTCTATTTGGTTTAGGAGCCTGCTCTGTTTTCATTACACAGCACCATCGGGTTAATATAGCGTTACTCGCCCCCCCCCCCCCCCCCCTTTAAAGTGTTGTTTTAAATGCCAAATCTCAGCTCTTCAACTACTGTCCAGAAAAACACGGAAAATATTCTCCTTGCAGTTTAATTCCTGCCTTAAAGTTTCCTAAAGCTTTTTTATTTTTTTTTCCTAAATATCTACCGAACACTTTTTGTGTTAGATAGGCAAAGCAGCACTTTGAAGAAATGACAGGCGAGGTTTATTAGGTATGTACTTCTCTTAAGGTGCTCCATTAAAAACAAACACACAAACGTCCTAACAAAAACCAAGTCAAACTTTGAAAAACGATGGCATCCGTCGATCGGTTGGCAGTACTATGTTGCTTTGTGTTTGCAGTTCGAAGATGACATTTCAAATATCTTAATACTGAAAAAGCCCAGCACCATGAGAACTGAATCCCAAAGAGGGCTCGGACTGAGAGTGATTCTGTGCAGGTGAAGGGGAAAGAAGGGACTTTTCCCCCCTTGCAAAAACTCGTTTCCCTTTCAGGATACGGTCGGGGGGTGGGGAGGGGGTGGAAGTGGTAGTTGTTGTTGTTGTTGTTACGGATTCAGTGTAGGGCAAACCCCAGTCTCAATCCTTCCTCAAATCTACTTCACCTAGCAATGAATATATTTAAGCGCTGAAAGTAGCAGAAAACCGGAATTGAAAGCGACGGGGCCTTTTTAGTGGAAAGCGAATGATTCAGGAGATGAAAAAGGAGTAAAGCTAATCTGAACGTGTATTTAGGCGATTTGAGTTTTAAAAACATTATTCTAATTCTCCCGAATTAATTCTGCAAGGAACAGCTAATTCCTGCTACACAAAATATACAAGGAATGATATAGGGGAAACGACCTCAACCCCTTCAGTAACAGAAACATTATTTATCTGATTACTACTTTTTGCACCGATCAGTCTCTTTGGGCAAACGGAGGGGAGTTGAGGATGAATTTAATTAGATATATTTCACTTTGTCCTTAACACTTCAACAAGCGACCGAGCCATTCATCCCAGAGAAATCATGCATGTACTCAAGTTTAATTTGTCGTTCAAAAGTAAGTCTATCTAGCTTTACATTTTTAAATCACAATAAAAATGTTTCCAGAAATAATCCATAATCGTTAGAATAGAAAACAAAATACTAAGATTTTTCCCTTGGCTTGGATTCCTGTCCTCTTTTTTTATTTTATTTCCTTCTCCCTCTTTCTGATCTTAATTGCACTTTGGTTCTCAGGAGAGAAAACTCCCCACTCTCATAGCCTTTTCACCGAGAGCTGCAGTGCATGACAGTTTACAGCCAAAAAACTTCCTCCAGCCGAACAGCTATAAAGACTCCCGATTTATAGCAATACTTTCCTTCTTACATGGGGCGAGTAGTAGCCTCCAGCTGTTACCTCGGGTTCACAGGACCTGTCCATCACTCCCTACCTTGTTCCCCCCCGAGACAGCGTGAAGCCCTAGACACCCTCACAACCTGGGAAGCAGTCCGTGTCTGCTCTGGTAACTCTTGGGCACCAGCTAACAAACGCGTTGCCAAACAAAGGCTTTACCCGCCTGGGGAATGCCATGCAAACTGAGAGCAGGATGAGGTATTGGAGGTATTTGTTAAATTATCTGCCCCGGGGAGCCGCACGAAACCAGCGTCGGCAGCAACACGGGGCACTTAGCAAGCGCAGAAATTAAAACATAGGTTAAACAGGCCAAAACACTGCACTCCTGAAAAATAAACTTCTACTTCTCCACGACCAGCCTCATTTTTTTTCTTCTCTCCAGAAAAATGAATATATTTACTATATAATAAATATTTATATCTCAATATATCTCTACTTGTCAGCTGCTTTTTCTCGGACACTGAGAGGAATATTCTATTGATACCACTGCTGAGGCACTGAATAATAATGTAAATGCCATTTTCATAATAAGTGTCTGGATTTCATTTTGTTCTAGTATACTTTTCCCTTATATACAAGGCTTAAACAAGAGCAAACCTAAAGATTTTTCTAAATGAGCTCTTCAGAAAAGTTACCATTTCGAATCCCAAGGTACTAACATATAGCCCACATAGGAAGATGACAGCGTACAAAAACATACAATGTTTTTATTCATTAAAAATTCATATATTATGACTGTCGAGATTCTAGAATAATTATTTTTCAGGTCCTCCGTTTTTAAAAGTGTTTTTCAATCTTTACAAAATAGGTTTGTTTTTCTTCGAAAAAAGTATTTTGAAAAAAGTATTTTGAAAAACAAAGCTTCTCAAGCAGTCTGAATGGAGCAAAATATGTTGATTTTGGTTTGGTTTGCTTTCATCCTTTAGCATTTGGGAGCACAAGGCAAAGGCAGAGTGCCATCTTGCATTTTTGAAGGTGGCAAAACTCCCGTCGACTTAGTCAGATCTTTGCTTGAGTACTGCTAAGTACCCTCTCCCTCTCCATCTCAAACGCTCAGATCCTGAGATTTCCCTCATGAAAGTCAATGATCAAACTTCCAATGACTTCAGCGCCTGCTGCATTAGACAGCACCAACCGGGGAAGAACAACAAAATAAACCGAAACTCACATAAAAGCCCTGAAGTGAGAGTCTGGCCAAAAGATGGATTGAATCGGCAAAGCAGAGAGCAAAGTATTTTTGACTGAACCTCCAAATTTCTAGTTACAATATCCTTTTCAATATTTTAATGATGTTGCTTAGAAGACTAGAGCTACCTAAACCAAATAATCTGGAGTGAGCTACTGGGAGCAAATAGATGACACAAGTAACAGCCATCCACCACTCTTAACAGCCCATTTCTTTAAAAATTGCAAAGAGGAACAGGCACAATGGAGTCCACTGGGTTGCAAAGAGAAGTAATAGAGTAAGATATTGTTTACTGCCTTATCCTAGCCTCAAGGATAAGAGGAAAGAAGAGCAAACACCTATTCTGCTTCAGAGACTACTTCAGAGTGTGATGTCAGAGACTATTTGCCTTATCATAAACATCCTAACTGGAGTCCTTTTGAGAGCCCCTAACATGAACTTCAACCCACACTGTCCCCAAAACCTATTAAAGTCACATGATTTTTTTTTTTCCTGCTAAGATATCTTCAGCTGAGTTAAAAAGCTAATGTTCAAGTCTCAAGTGCGAAAGTTCTCAAATTTTCTGATATTTTCATTAATAAACAAAACAACATACTTTTGTTGGGAATATTCATCTTGTCTTGAACATTACATCTGTTTATCAAAGTATACACAGTACTAATAATCAAACAGGCCATACTTTGTATTGCCTTTGCAGTTCTTTTAATATCAATAAAAGATTGAAGGCAGTAGGGAATCCTATTTCCTCCTTTTGAGGCGTACTTAAAACAAACTGGGTGCTTCACTGCTACAGAATATTAAGATAGTATTTCTAGTATTCAACAGGCAACTTCTGCCTAAATCTTCATAATCGCATGGTTTGGCACAGTAATTGCCTTGAACGTGACTTCAGGACTTACAGCAACTTTTGAGCCCTTTACTGCTAAGACTATTTTCTGATTTTTTTTTGCTCTAGGTAACCCCCTCATCATATAGGATAAAAGCACTTGGTCAGCTTTTCCAGTGAGGGGCTGCTGAAATCAAATTCTCTGCCTGTCTCATCAGGATAGTAGATATATAGATATACATATATATACATATAGATATGTGTGTGTGTGTGTGTGTGTGTGTGTGTGTGCGCACATGCGCGTGGGTGCGTGTGTGTGTGTGTGCTGTGTTGACAGCAAAGAAGCTGTCTGATAGAAAACTGTTTTCTTCTATTCCTCATTTGAGCTAATCCCCACTGACTGATATCAACAGCTCGGCATAACTCTGATCCTATCTGAAGTTCTTCTTCTTCTTGATGAAACTGGCTCATAAGAAAGAACGGGAACTTAACTCAATATCGGTATTATTTGAACTCCCAGGCAGCATACTTTTATACCAGCTGACCCCCTTTTTAGGCCCATCCGTTGTCTCCTCTCTTCCACTGCTCTGAACCAAATTAACTTCTACTTTCTTCCAAGCTCTGCATTAGCTAGCTCCACTCTGTATATCCAGCCCTTAATCTCACCTACACTTGATTCACCAATGAGGACAACTTCTCCACATCTCAAAAATAATTTCATATTATTAAGAACATGAAAAACTCCCAAATTCATCAAGCCACCATCATATCTTCCTGCAAATCTTTTTTTTTTCCCATTATATATACAGCATATATGTTAGGCACCGTCCTGGGCATGTCTGGTAAGAGATTTTGCAGTGGAAGGATTATGCATAGCAGAAGAATAGGACTGCAGTGCCAACAGCCTTAAAATCTGCGCAAGAAATAAATAGGCAATACTCACTGGAAAGCAGCAATTGCAGAGAAAGGAGAAACTACTGATGCAACAGCTCCTGAAAAAAGCCCTGCTGGTCTTTGCAGGGAGCCAAAGTGCAAACTAATGTCAGCTTCTTACTGCCCTAAAGAACTAAGACCTGGAGCGCAGCTTCCAGGATGTGCAAACATGCTTGTGTCTCTCTGCTTCATGACCAGTAGTGTATAAAATGGACCTGTCAGTCCTACTGGGGCAAAATTCAGCCTTTCCCCATTAAATGCACCTATCAAGCTCTGACAAACAGAAATGCTTCCTGCAGTTCTCTGTTTTGAGCTCAAAGGTTAGTTGGATCTTGGCCATTTTTTTTCTGCCTTGTGCCACCTAATGAGTTCAGCTCTGGGAAGATTGCTTATTTAACATATAGCACAAGAAACTGGAAATCAGGAGAGCTGACTCACTGTCTCACCTTGGGCAAGTCTTCGGTATCTCCATCTTGGTAAGCCTTTCTATTTCATAATAAAAATTTTCCATAGAAATTTTCATTAGTAATATTTTATCTGGAAGCATTTTTAACAGAAATAAGTATCAGAGAAGCTAATCACAGACAGTAAAAGATAATTACATATCAAAATAAAAATTCATCATCTCTGTTCTCAGGTAATGCAAGTTTGGTCTGATTCTCTAATGAGGGCGTATTTTGCCTGTCGGATGCTTTTAGAACACCTGCGCTTTTACCAAACTGCTTGTTTTATTCCCACTCAGTTTCAGCATTCTACAGACACTGGTTTGCTTTACGCTTCCAATTTGTTAAGAAAAAACCTCTGCATAGTAAAAAGGGACTACTCAAGCCATACCTTCTTCTCTAGCATCCAAGCTGTCAGCACCATATGCAGATACAACACAGATGATAATGTGCAGCAGATATGAACGTGCGATGATTGCATCATGTAATAATCAGCAGTGCATATGCCACTAGAGGCAGTGCTAAGAATGCCTAGCAGACACTACAGACAGTCTAGCCTCTCTGAAATCTGGGTATGTTAGACACTTTCCCACAAAATATTTCCTGTTCTTGCTAAGAAAATGTCAGCTGTGACCTAGAACTTAGGATCCCTATAGTTTGATGTCCTGTGTAACACAGGCTAGTTGTTACATAGGAAGATGTGATTCTTCACTCCTGATTATGCAGGTTATTTTGTAATGTTTCAGTGAGACAGGTCTTTGTGGCTCCAGTGATTCATTTACTTCTCAAAACAAGAAGACTTATAGGTGCTGTACTTTTTGAAAGCCAATTTAATTTTAAAAGTTTCTCTTACCCACTTTGCATCTGACCATTACGCTAATTAAAATTTCTCTTTTCTGTGAAACTACTATTTTATATCTAGCTCAAATCAGTAGATGATCACTATAATTCTGGGTTATTGTATGTATAACGTGTAGGTCCCTTGCCTACACAATCCGTGCTAAATCTCTGTATTAAACTAGAGTGGATTCAGTTAGTTGTTAACTGGCCCAAAACACTTTACAGAGGCACAATTTTAATTATGCAATACACTAAGCTTCTTACTTCCAACTCTGATTTCAAAAGTCTAACAACAGATTCTTAGATAAGAACAATTAGACAGCAGCAGATCTAATGGAGACAGCTATTTTTTTTTTACTCCCTTGGTTCTGAGGGAACCTTCTTCCCCAAGCTTCCTCTCATTATCTCATGAGGGCTCTTACACTTCTCTACAGATGTGAGATAATTGAAGAAGGTGAGTCGTTTATTTAAAAGTTAGTGATAGAACAATAGGCTAATTCACCCAGATCCCTAAAAGATTAAAAAAAAAAAAAACAGGTGTACCTAACTTTATTATTGTTTGGAATTTAATTGTATATTATCTTTCAATAATAACACGGTTGTTCTCTCCTCAGAAAGCACAAGCTTACACTTTTTGGTGGCTAGCTAGTCAATGTTGTGCTATACATTTCTTATGCCAAGATAACCGACTAGTGTACTTGGATCCGTACTCTCAGCGAACACAACACTGAATCCTCAAGCCTCGTGCTGACATTTTCTTTACAAATATGTGTGCCTAAATTCTGCATGGGAACAGAAA